ACTTGCTACTTTCTTCCCGACCGATTATTTCCGCATAAGTTCCCGCACTCCTTATTAATTCTCCCCCTTTTTTCGGCTTCAATTCCAGATTGTGTATCGGGGTATTATCAGGAATGAACTTCAAAGGCAAATTATTACCGATTTTTAGCGGAATATCTTTGCTTGCCCCACTAATTATTTGGTCACCAACTTTTAATCCCTCTGGGGTAAGAATAAATTGTCAACTACCATCTTGATAACTAATTAGGGAAATAAAACAATTACGATTAGGGTCATATTCGATGCTTTTGACCTTTCCAGTTATATCATCTTTAGGATAACGTTTAAAATCAACAAGACGATAAAATCTTTTATGACGGCCTCCTTGGTGACGCGTAGTAATTTTTCCTTGATTATTGCGTCCGGACTGAGTTTGCATAATCTGCCGCAATTTTCGTGGTGTTTTTTTACTACTAGGAACTAATTTTTCCCGATAATTGAGGAGAATAGTGTTACGACGAGAATTAGCAGTTGGTTTGATGGTTTTCATTATTTATTTATTTTTCTCGAAAGCGGTGGCGGTATTTTTCTTTTTCCTTAAAACCGGTGCCTACCGGAACTAATTGACCGGCCATCACACATTCCTTAGGTGATTGCAAGTAATCAATGGGATTATACAAGGCATAATTAACAAGACCTTTCAGAGCATTTTGGAAAGATATTCCGGCTAAGAAAGAAGCTGGGTGAGAAGCTAAATCTTTGAGACTAGAAATGATATTTTTAAAAACAACCGGTTGCTTTTTGGCGGTTTGTAACTTTTGATTAAGTTTTTGGAGATGCCAATAATCGACTATATCACCCACTAAATAATTGCTATCTCCGCTGGCAGTTACTTCGACTTTGGAGAGCATTAAACGGGCAAATATTTCAATATGTTTTTCATTAATATCTATCCCCTGTCCGCTATATACTTTGCGGATCTGATTTTTAATGTAATCTTGACAAGCCGAACGACCCATAATGGTTAAATACTCTTCTAAGGAAACTTTTCCGGTGGTTAGCCTTTCGCCTGGGACTACCTTGTCTCCAAGTTGAACCCTTAACTTTTTTCCGGGACGTAACGGATAAACGATTTCTCCTTCTTCCGAATTTTGTTTAATCATTTCCTTTTCCACGCTGACTATTTCTCCGGTATTGCGAGCCAAAATAGCTTTTTCTAGTTCTTTAATTTTGACATTATCGAATATT